ATCTTACGGACTCGTCTTCTCGGCGAATTCCACGACGCACGACTTTCGGCACACCTTGGCGTGAACCGCACACTAGCACGCCTCCGCCAGCGTTTTCACTGGCCCGATGTCCTTCACGACGTCACGAGGTACATTGAGTCATGTGCAGTTTGCCACCGTAACAAGGGTCGATCTCGAGTCCCCTTCGGCGAGCTGAAACCGTTGTCGATCCCTCGGGCACCACGCCTCTCCATTGCTATGGACGTGACAGGCCAGTTTCCTCGCGATCGCCACGGCCATGACGGTATTCTCACGGTCGTTGACCGTTTGAGCAAGTATGCTCGCTTCCTTCCTTGCAAGTATCATGCTGCGGCGCCTGAGCTCGCACGACTCTTGCACACCGGTTGGATTACCAACCAAGGTGTTCCGGAAGACATAGTGAGCGACCGAGATACTCGTTTCATGTCAGCCTTTTGGACTTCCCTCATGGCTGAGTCCGGTACGACAATGAAACCGAGCTCGGCTCGGCACCCGCAGACGGATGGTCAGACGGAACGAGCGCACCAGACCGCTCAGATGATGTTGCGTACGCTCATCCGTCCCGACCAGAAAGATTGGGTTGACCGGCTTCCCGACATCGAGTTCGCCTATAACACTTCGGTGCACCCGGCGATCTGCGTCACACCATTCGAGTTACGTCATGGTGGAGAGAAAGCACGGATCTTCGCTGATCTCCTTTTGCCACAGGCTGCCGACATAGACGTCCCTTGCTCTCCCGCTTCCRTCCGGAAGTACCGGGACTTGCTGATCAAAGCCCGCGCAAATATGCAAAAGGCTCAGATCCACATGCAGCAGCAAGCTAACCGACGTCGACTTCCATGTCCTTTTCGCGAGGGAGACCTTATTTGGGTCCTTTCCGAGGAATTTGCGCTCGAGCAGGACGTTTCGCGCAAACTCCTTCCGAAATGGTTCGGACCATGGGAAGTCACTTTTGTCGTTAGAGACAATCCCGCAGGCCCTTCCTTCGTGATCAACATTCCACCGCACCTGACAGTGCATCGGGTCTTCCACGCATCGAAGCTGGCCATGTACACGCCACCTTCAAATGACGAGTTTCCCGGACGTCGATCACAGGATCCGCCCTCCATGGACGGACATCAGGAAGTGGACCGAGTCCTCGCGCACCGCAGGTATGGCAACAAGCCAAGGCAGTACAARGTCACATTCAAGCAATGTGCGCCTGATGACACTCGGTGGATCTCCAGTGAAGATTTGCAGACTTCTGCACCCCTCATCTTCGCTGACTATGAGAAGCGACGCCTTGCTAAGGACGCAGCTCGTCCCGCCCGACCCACCCCGGTATCGGAYAGACAACTTCGCCCTCGCAGGTAGCTCGGTCTTTTAAGAGGGGGAGTGTGTTACATCTTCGACGCACACGGGTCCTACCGGACCCGACTTAGGGCTAGAGGGACACACCAGCGCCTAAAGGCCCGACCTTGGGGTACTACAGG